TGGGGGTAAATATGCACATTTCACATACAAATTGTCATCAGAGTGACTTTACTTATCTTTTCGTTCAAAAACTTTAATTTTGTATCTAAGCAGTCCAGCTACTTCTGTACATTACATTTGTCCTAAGTAGCATGAGATTTCGACCAGTCAGGAGTAGCCTATAGCATATCAGTTCCTGCAACAACACATCCCATCTGCACCAGGAGCTGTGACAGCTGTTGAAGGTCAGAGGTGACAGGTTAACACTTTGAGGTTCGTATGACTTTCTCATTAAATAGAAAAATGTTTTTAATGTTAGATAACTAATAAATAGCTAGCTAGTTGACTATGGAAAAAAAAACCTTAGAGGGAAAACCTCTTTTCTCGAGAATACTGAAGCCAAAAATTATCCTTATAATTTGTATTAATTTAAAACACACTTACTGCAGCTAGCAGACCTAGGCGAGGCAGCTCGCGCGCCTATTGGATGCTATGCGGCAACTGCTGCAACCTATCGAGGCACTGCTCGTTAGTAACGTGACGTTCTCTTACGAGAGTACTCTCGTGTTGCGTAAGCTAGCTTACGCTACGGGAATCCAATTTAAAACGCCGTGCGTGCTAAATCTACCACAACACTGACCCAAGGGCGAGTGCCCTGAGTTCATATGATATGGGGATATAAAAAGCCGACATTGGGAATGGGCTTAATAAAAATTATATAAGGTAAACGTGGTTACCTTAAATGCAGAGGGTGCTTAACACGGTATAACAGTCAGGGGAGGCAATAGCCTGCCTGAACTGAAAACTTTGTAGTCCGCGGAACCGAGTCCGGCAGAACTGAGCGGATAAACTCAGGGCTCCAGACTAACTTTTTTTACTAGGAGCGCTGTTGCCCCTGACTGAAAATTTTAGGAGCACAAGCAGAAAATTTAGGGGCACACCTTAAATCAGCTTGCAGTGCAATTATTCAAATTTCCCCCAAAATAACTGTAATACTGACAAATTATTTAATAATAAAGCGACTTAACGTACAGATATTGTTGGTAGCACTGGGGCTGACAATAAATCACTAAGCTTAATTTAGGGTGTAGATGAAATTAACTTTTGTTATTATTATCATTCATAATGTCCTAATATTAATTAAAAAACAAAAGGAGTGAAAAAAATTATATTAAGGAGTGAACATAGCCAATAAACATCCTACTGTTTACAATGTTTTTTGTTTTTTTTAAATAAGTGTTTAAATAAGAGTTATCCAACATCTTAAAATTTTTAGTTTTAGGACAATCTTTGAAGGATGAACAAAAAATGTGTTGGTCATCACATAAATTTTTTTTTTAAAAAAAGCATTTATATATGATATTATAGTATCAGTATCGGTATCACAGTATAGTAATAGTATCACGAATCGGAATGTTTCTCACTGGATCTCGTAGCAATGATGTTATTAATTCTGAGGCGAATTCCATGGATTTCTTCACTGGATCTCCTAGTAACAGTGTCGCGTGAGCGAGATCGGCCCGCGACTGCTAAGTTCGGGTCTTTACTTTACTGTCAATGGTTCGGGGCGCTGCGCTCCATTGATATACATAAGAAAGGCTATGCGCTGCTCTGTCTATTATTGGTCCGGAATAATTAACGGTCCGTGAAGCATAGGCCTACATGAGTAGCGTATTTTCGTTCCACTTTCATTTTGTTTGCATTCGCTGCTTGGTAACGAGTCGATAGATCGCTCATTGCTCAGACGCACATAGCAGCTTGTGATATTTGTCTCCGTCTCCTTCCCACAGACACGCACGCTCTCTATTCTTGTCACGCTCACTCATTCCGGATTCATTGACGCGCCCCTTCCACGCTTAACCATGCGTTTAACGTGAGGCAAATTTACTGGTCGCACATGTGCGACTGGATGTAAAATTCAGTCGCACACTCTCAAATTTTAGTCGCAAAATGCGACCATTTGGTCGCAGTCTGGAGCCCTGAAACTAAACTGACAACAGTCTAGCTTGGAGCGCGGGAACTTCCAGGTTATAGAACCCTATAAATGTAGACAGAGAGGCCCAGCCTGCCGCCATACAGATATCGTGAAGGGAAATCCCACTGGACCAGGCCCACGAAGAGTCATGGCTCTAGTGGAATGAGCTCTGACGCCCAGAGGGCAACGAAGGCTCTTAGATGTATAAGCCAGTGAGATAGCGTCCACTATCCACCTGGAAAGGCTATGTTTCGAGGCAGCTAGACCTTTAGATCAGCCACCAAACGAAACAAATAGCTGTCCTGACCGTCTGAAAGCAGCCGAACGTTCCACGTAAATTCTAAGGGCCCTAACCAGGCAAAGGAGATTCACGTCAGACTCGCTGTCAGATCCGAAGAGAGAATGTCAGATTGAAGAGGCGGTGGTACCAGTACCAGTCGGTCGCCTTCCAAGGTTTCAGAGCTGCGACGCATTTCTGATTGACCCTGAGGCGAAACAGATCGGAGGCCCAAGCTCGAGACGGCACTCGTGCTTTCAGCCACCACTGCAGTGGGCGCATGCGAAGCAGACCCAGCTGGAGTACTGATGATGATGATGAGGCCATGAGGCCCAGCATTTTCTGAAATCTCTTGAGCGGGACTATAGTGCCGCAATGTTCAGTATGCGCTCTGGCGATAGTCGCGCTGTCATTGACAGTGAGTTCAGCTCTGTGCCCAGAAAGGATATTTCCTGGCTGGGGGACAGCGAGCTCTTCGCCCAATTGACTGTGAGACCAAGATTCTTGAGGTGTTCGAGTAATATGGTCCTGTGTTCTATGAGCTCTGAATGAGATCGAGCTAGAATCAGTCAATCGTCCAAATAGTTCAAAGCTCGCATGCCCTGAAGTTTCAGGGGCGCGAGAGCCGCGTCCATGCACATCATAATATACAGGATGCCAGGGACAGGCCGAACGGTAGGACTGTGTATTGATATGCCTGGCCGTCGAAGGCGAATCTCAAAAATCGCCTGTGACGAGAGAATGTCAGACTCGCTGTCAGATCCACAGAGACTTGTGCTCTGAAAGGAGTGGCAAGTACTTTGGGGACATAATCATGTCTTGGTTTGAGGATGACCTTGGAGTCGTTAGGCCCAAACTCAAGGCACGACGCCCTAACAGAAAGTGCGTGTAAGTCACCCACCAGCTTGACTGAGGCGATAGCCACCAGAAAGGCGGTTTTCAATGAGAGATACTTAAGGTCCACAGACTGTAGAGGTTCGAAAGGGGCACCCTTCATGGCCTCCAGGACCAAGGAAAGGTCCGAGGGGGGGGGGGGCGAGGAGGGTTCATCCTTCTAGCTCCCCTGAGGAAGCGGACTACAAGGTTGTTCCTACCCAGTGACTGGCCATGCGAATGTTTGACAAACGCAGCAATAGCCTCCACATATACCTTGAGCATGGATGGGGATCTATCCTTATCCAAGAGCTCCTGTAGGAAGGAGAGAACCTCCGACACCCCACAATCTTGTGGATCCAGGTTGCGAGCTGAGCACCGACCTGAGAACACTGACCACTTGGAAGCATAAAGCCGTCTAGTAGAGGGCGCTCTAGCTTGCGTAATCGTGTTTAACACTCCGTCGGGGAGACTGACGGGTACCCGTTGATGGCCCACACATGCAGAGCCCAAAGCTCGGGTCGTGGGTGCCAAATTGTATCCCCGGACTGTGAGAGGAGATCTCTCCTCAACGGGACAGGCCACGGAGGCAAGCTCTGAAGCTGCATCAGCTCCGGAAACCAAACTTGGTTCGGCCAGAACGGAGCTACTAGAAGTACACAGGAACCGTTCTCCCTTATAGGCTTGATTACCTGTGGTAACAGCATGATCGGAGGGAAAGCATAGAGAGGGCGGCTGGGCCAGTGATGGGCGGCCCAGTCGCCAGTGATGGGCTTGGCCAGTGATGGGCGCTGAACCCATACAAGGATGCGTTCTGCCAGTGCACGAAGGTTCCGTGATCTCAGACTGCCCTGGCGATTTATGTAGGAAACCACCGACATGTTGTCCGTGCGGACAAGGACATGGTGGCCCTTTAGAAGGGGAAGGAAGAACCGCAAGGCGTTCTCGACCGCCTTCATCTCTAGACAGTTTATGTGCAAGCTCTTTTCTTGGCTTGACCACAGGCCAAAAGTCGGTCTGCCCTCACAGATGGCGCCCCAGCCCGAATTGGAGGCGTCTGTCGAAACCACTATCAGTTTAGAGATTACTCCCAGGTTTACACCTGTCTGATACCAGTCGACCGCCTTCCAGGGCTCCAGAGCTGTGACACACTGAAATGGGCTTGAATGAGCTCTTTGCCAGACTAACTTTCAGAGCAAATCTAAATTTGCCGGAAGTTGTCTGGGTTTTCCCAGGCTAGAATGGACTGTGTGTTTGGCATGCGTTTTTTAATAAAAAATTGCATACTTCACCTCCAATTGTCATGTTAAGGACAACATTATTGTTTTTTAGTCTTGGAACCTATTTTATTGGACTCCTTGACCACAAAAATGTACCCGTTGATACCAAATTTGTCATTATAGCTAAATTTTTTTAAAAATGTGCGTATATAAGATACAAAACATGATCTCACTTGTGTCTTAGGATAAATTTATTTCTATGGCCCTAAGGTACTTCCATACCAAAGGGGACCTTTGCATCATGACTTGAAGTCAAAAGTCACTTAACCTCCCTACTATTTGGAAGAAATGCTCAAGTGGAGGAACAAATGCTCAAAAACAGGACAGGCACATGCTGAATAAGTGAGAAATTTCAGTTATTTATTTATTTTTATTAGTAAATAAAAGAATGAATATAAGTTCCATGTGGGTCACATTATTCAATTACTTTTCCTGTTTCTGTTTTTTGTCGTGGTATCGGTTCAGTAGTAGTATTGAGATTTTATTTAGGTATCATATCGAAGTCATAATTGGTATCTGACAACACTAGTCTGAACTAATTTTAGTATAAAATGACTCACTGCAGTATAAGATTACCACTCACACAAAAGTGATGTTTGAAATCAACCATACTGACCATTTTAGCAGTGATTCAGGCTCTCCTGCTGAGCTGGACCAGAGGTGAACAGGTCTACCGCTGAAAAACAGAGAAATACAGTATAAAACCACATCTAGAAATCACGCAACCGTATATAATCTCAACCATAAAAATTGTCACACACAGCTTAACGCTTGAAATGTAACGTTAATTGTCATGAAAACAAAGTATTTTGATGTGGGTATGATTATGGGCTGGACATTAACTTTTAAAAGTATTTAAACTTTATACATCAGTAAAATATATTATAAAGCTTTATATTATTTCAGCTTTGTATGCGTCATACACTGTGTAAATAGCAGGTACAATGTGGTACAATGATCGGGAATATGAAATTGTGTACAAAATTAAGTTTATAGGCTATACACCAGCGAAGGTTTTTATGCATTTAGTATATATTAAATAAAGCTGTAAATATTAATACATAAGTTACACACACACACACCATACTGCTGGTGAGTCTTGTTATGATCACGTGACTGTTAACTTTAAGTTTGTAGGAAAAAAAAGTTACGATATGAATCTCACCACTCAGGGAATGACGAAGTACATGATTAAGAAAAAAAATACATCAAACACCAGAAACATCCAGAAATCAAACCAATAGGAATGTTTCGGCAGAGACGGCAGAACGGCACGTGTATCCTCCATTATCGTACTACACACTTCCCGCTTCCGTCTTCATTCATCGTGTCACACACATTTCCTTCTGGCGGTTTTCACAATAAAAGTCCGCGAAAACCCTCACAATTGCAAGGGAGAGATAAGTGCTGCTGCTTTTATTACAAATTATGAAGCAGAATATTTATTCAGTTGATAATGACGATTTATAAACATTCTTTTTAAATGGAATTCGTGTAAGAGACATTAATGTTAATTTAAGGCGAGACACTACAGGTGAATAGGGTAAAATTTTTAAATAATAGATATCACCATGAAACTTCCTCAGTTGATTACTTACACAGTATATAAAAAAAAATGTATTACAAGTTTTTGAAATTTGGATGTTTAATTATGCAAATTATGCATTATCTCATTAAATATGCACGATTTTGCATTTAGGTAGATAGATCTGAACATATGATAAAGCCAGGTGCAAAATTATTTTTTCGTTTTGTTTACACACAAGATGAAAAAAAAAGTTCAGCGGGATTTCAGGATATATGCTTATTACCTAGGAAATCAAAGGAAAGAGCTAATGTTAATGCAGGAGAAAGATTTCAAGAGACGCTGAAGTCCTGCTTTCTTCTCGACAGGTAAGTCAATGTTACAGTCTTAATTACAAGCTTTTTTCATTGCTTGGTTGTGTACTTTATTATATAGACAGTAGAACATTTATAGTTAAAAGTTAAACAGGCTCTTTGATGAATAGCAGCTATGTAGAGAAGGCGCTAAAAACAAGGTTTGTAAGTTTACTTTTTGTAACCTAGAAATTCGATAAGAATATATTTTAATAGAACATATGATTGTTCTTGCAACCTGTTCACCCGAAGGAAAACTCGACGAAGTGCTATTAGAAGACATCCTGTCATAGCTCTTTGGTACGGCTACCATAGATGCAACACGCATTTGAAAAAGCGAGGCGCTGGAGAGCACAATAGGCTCTATGCACGAACGCTGCTGACGTATTTCCGGTAGAATATCAGCCAGTGTCTTTACCTCCGCATAGCGAGTTCTATAGCGAAGTGTACTACCGGCCAAACTTTAATAAAAATCTTTTTCTCAGAAACGAGACAACAATTTTAGAAACTGATTCGCTAGTCGGATTTCACATGATATGAGAGATTACTCACCCTCAAAGTTGTCGATGTAGCTCGAAATATATAATTTAATGCCCTTCTCTTTCTTACTCTTATGTGTGACAGCTAACTGTCTCACAATATTGTTAACATCATTCACGTTAACTGCTGGAAGTTCTTGTAAACAGCGAGTGTAATTTGCCATTATCTCCACCTAATGCAAAAACGGCTTGCGACGCAGCACCGGATGTAACTGGGCGGGCTGAGACAAAACATGGAAGCGATCGTGCATAGAGCCTATTCGTTTGAATGCAAAAAACAATTTCACCGCTAGATGGGAGAAATTCCTACACAATGTCCCTTTAAAAAATCGATTTTCGCCATATTTTTTTTTAATTAAAATATCACATAAATCAGGCCAGGAATGATTTTTTTTAATGATTTATTTTCAACGTTTTCTTTATAGCAGCTTGAAAGAACACATATTGAAGGAGTAAACTAGCCCAAAATCTCAAAACTGATCACTGCATGAAAAATCGATGTTTTTGCCTGTGTCTCGCCTTAAGCGCTATGAACATTCACAGAAATGCCATTTAAAGGGTTAGTTCACCCAAAAATGAAAATTCTGTCAGTAATTACTCACCCTCATGTTGTTCCAACCCCGTAAGACTTTCGTTCATCTTCGGAACACAAATTAAGATATTTTTGATTAAATCTGAGAGCTGGATCACTCCTCCATAGGCTTCTTAAGGGATCGAAACTGGCCGGCCGAAAAGTTATAAAAGACATAACTTCATAAGTTATGAAAGAATGGTGTGTGGTGGGCGTTCTGGCGCACTATGGCTGCCGTCACATCATCCAGGTGGATGGGTGCACATTGGTGGTGGTTGTGGAGATTCCCCCTTCTATGTAAAGTGCTTTGAGTGCAGAGAAAAGCGCTATATAAATGTAATGAATTATTATTATTATTATTATTATTATAAGATACAGGCGCCCACACTATTGATCATGAAGGCCTCAAGGCAGATTTCTTTGACCCTGGCAATACATGATGGCAGAAATATGATTGGATAAAAGCTCTAACATAAACATACGCTACTGGAAGCAACGCAACCAAGAGAAAAGCTATGAAATTAAGATAATGGACTATTGGGAATAATTGAATACTCCTTCATGGAAGAAAATATATTAAGGCCTTACCGGCCCTGACGGCCCACCACTGTTTAAATGAATGTATGCTGTCTTTAATGAACAAAAATGGTACTTGCATGCTTTTAGAGTTTAAATAAACCTAAATAGCACTTGAGTGAACTTTATTAACTAAATTTAACCTCGCACTATTATCATTAGCCGGCCCGGACAACATTCCTGGACAAGCACCCAAAACCTGCGCATGGATGCTAGCAGATGTCTTTGTGGACATATTCAATCTCACAAACCTCAATTCCTACCTGCCTTAAGACAACCATTATCATATCACTGCCAAAAAAGGATAAAGCAACCTGTCTTAATGACTACCGGCCCATTGCATTGACAACTATAGTTATGAAATGCTTCGAGAGAATCGTCATGAGCTACATTCAGACGATTATACCGGACACTCTGGGCCCTTGCCAGTTCGCGTACAAACCGAACAGGTCTACAGGGGATGCCCTCAGCACAACAATACACACAGCCCTCACGCACCTAAAGAGCAGGGACAGCTTTGTTCGACTGCTGTTCATCGATTTCAGTTCAGCGTTTAACACTGTTATACCATCCAAGCTCGTCAGCTTTCCACCCTTGGTGTGCCACCCACCCTTTGTAACTGGGTCCTGAACTTTCTAACAGGCAGACCCCAGTCTGTTAAGCCCTATTCGCACGGGATAAGTATTACCTGGTGACCTCTAGTCATTTGTAATAATTGCGGAGGTTGTCTGTGATCTTAATTCGGTGCGAATTGGCCATGTCTGTAATTTGTAAAGTAAAACTTACCCCGCAAATGACCTACCATATTTTGCCGAACACCGAGGTCCTGTGATAATATTAGTCCTGTGCGAATCGGCATCTCTGTGATTTGGCGGGGTCGTATATAATTTTTTCAATGTTTTTATTTCCTGTGCGCTTTTTTATCCATCTTTCGCGAATAATGGTGTGTTTTGATAGTATTTTGGGTGCTAGGTCATATCGCTATACACCATACAACTATACAATTTGCAGAAAGAGAAAGCTGAAAACCATCAGAAGAGCAAAAACAAAAAGAATGATTAGATGGAGATGAATGACATGTTTAGCAGCATGCGGTAAGGAACATTATTCTGTTTATGATACATCATACATCTAGACCCTTAATAATACGCTCTATTGTTTGAGCTACAGGAAAGCAATGGGTCATACGTGGTCCCCAGATAATACTAATCCAGTGCGAATAGGGCTTTAGAATGGGCAGCCACACATCCAGGACAATAACTGTAAACACAGGAACTCTGCAGGGTTGCGTACTGAGTCCCATGCTCTACACACTATCCACCCATGACTGTGTGGCCTCCCAGATTAACACCAGCATCATCAAATTTGCTGATGAGACAACAGTCATAGGACTGATATCTGGGGGTGATGAGTCCACATACAGGAGGGAGGTGGCTGGCCTTGTGAAGTGGTGTCAGGACAACAATCTCTCCCTAAATGTTAGTAAAACAAAGGAGATGATTGTTGACTCACAGAGGAGGAGGAAGCAGCACCAATCACTGCATATTGGAGAGACTGCGGTGGAGAAAGTGAGCACATTAAAATTTCTTGGTGTTCACATATCTGAGGATCTCTTCTGGACTCACAACATCACACATCTGGTGAGGAAATCCCGACAGCAGTTGTATCTGAGGAAATCTGGCATGCCAGGAAAAATCCTCAGCAGCTTCTACAAGATGTACAATCGAGAGTACAATCGGGACCGCAAGGCTCTGCAACAGGTGGTGAGAGCAGCCGAAACCATTACTGGAACAGCCTTAACCCTTTAGGCGCCAGAGGTTTTTTCCTAAAAGTTCGATTTTGACATCTTAATTTCAAAAGGCTATATCTTAAAAGTGATAAAAGATAGAGACTTTCTGTAAATTAGAGAAATATTAAGGATGACCCAAAGTTTATGTAGGGATTACATTTTCCCATCTAATTTGCATAATATGACGTCATATGGTGGCGGCAATCTTGGATTATAGAATTTTCATGAAAAGTCACGTTTAAATGATAAAATGCAGCACTTCTTTCCCCCCAAAATGTCCATCACCTTCTGTATGCTATATTGCACAATACTGAATGCTCAGGTATATAGTAAGTAGTAAACAAACTGTGTAAATCATTACTAATAAATGGTAGAAACAAACCGAATGCATGTAGTGGTTGGCCTTTTGCTGTAGAGATTTTCCATTTACTAAATACAGTAGGCACTCTGATTCCATGTATGGGGCACATATATATTATTCATATGACATACAAACACAAGTAGACAAGACCTGTTTAGTTTAAACGCTCACTCGCCACGGCAAGGCACAGATCATGAGTGAGATGATACGAGCAGCGCGGTCAGATCTGCCTCTCGCGCGCGCGCCGAGTGTGCAAAGCTCGGACTACTGTCATTGTCATTGCGACTCCTCACCCTGCCTCCACGTTGCCTCCTAACTGTCCTATGAATACTTCGACCTCGTCTAACATACCCAGTGGTATTAGACAAAGTCTCCACCACAATACTGTCGCCGCGATTGCGGAGAGGCTCTGATAACATGGCTCACTCGCACACTAGCTCCGCTTTTGATCGCACTGATTCAATGCGCACTAACTCGAACATTTTGTATAGAAACATGACGTTTTTTTGATTCGGGGATGAAGTATGACATGTCTGCTATCCAGTGGAGGGGAGGTCGAATGAAATTTGACACCCAATTTGACAAAATCGGCCGTTTTATTCAGTGCCGCA